GATTGTCAGTAATTGACTTTCTGTGCTTTGGGAAAACAGACCTGGTTTGGGGGCTCTATAGCAATACCTCCAATTAGTTTGGGGTGTTAGCTGGCAACAAGTCTGTATTGAGGCTAGAGTTTTTGTAGAAATTGTATATGGGCTTTTGGTTTCTGCTTCCCTTTGCCCAACTGTCCAGGATATGTCTGGGTGGAGTGCTTCTTGGGCAAGGAATTCCTGCCCAGGTATTCCTGGTATTTCTCCCAGAACTTCATAATGAACCTATTAGACCCTTTGGTGTAGGATGGGAACGATTCCCCTGTGCTGTCCCTAGGAAAGAGTTGGGCTTAACCTAACAAGGTTATTGAACAGGGCAAGCATTTTGATGTATAAATGCTGGTCTACTTTAAGCACTTTCTTCTACATTTCTTTCTTCATTTAACAACATCAACATTTTCATTTTCGTCAGAACCACTTATACACATAGGGTGATGTCTACTTAGCAACATCATTCTCTCAGGAGAAGTAACCTTTAATGTGACGGGGTAGCATGGGAGAAAGCATCCCTTCTATGTTTTCTTTGAGCTGGCATATAGGCAAAGAACTGGTTAGGGGTATTCTTCACTTGTTATCTGTCCTATGATGTTCAGAGGTGGCCTGGGAAAGGTGGTTTTGTATCATCCAGAATAGGCTGGAATCCTTGCCCCAGCCCATCTGAAGTTGGACTGCTTGTATTCTAATAGAGACAAAACAAACAAGTGCATTAAATGCACATGGTGTAAAGAGAAGGAGTAGGAGGAAGGGAGTTATACTGCCAAGGAGACGCAACAGCTAGAATTTCCATGACCCAATGCTGGGCCACAAATTCTGACAGTGTTTTGCCTGGTCCTGGAGTTGGCTGACCTCACCCAAGAAATATTGACTATGATCTTGGATCTTTGTAATTCGCTTCAAAAACAGACTTTTTATGGAGCATAGCACAGACACCTCCTTGGGCAGCAGTTAGCATGTCTAATTGCCTGACTGTTTTGAAGAACTGGGTTTAGCAGCCCTAAACTAAGAGCCCTACTTTTTGAGATAGAAATTATAATTACCCTAATTTAATAATTGTATGTATCATACATTTACAAATTGTCATTGTATATACCCCCCTTTTTATTTTAACTGAAAGAGAGAGGTCTTCCATCCACTGGTTCACTCCCCAGTTGGCCATAACAGCCGGAGCTGTGCTGATCCAAAGCCAGGAGGTAGGAGCTTCCTCCGGGTCTCCCACACAGGTGCCCAGGCCCAAGGACTTGGGCCATCTTCTACTGCTTTCTCAGGACATAGCAGAGAGCCAGATCAGAAGTGGAGCAGCTGGGACTCAAACCGGTGCCCATATCAGATGTCAGAGCTGCAGGCAGCAGTCTTACTTGATATGCCACAGTGTCGGCCCCATTGTATACCCCTTTAATAAATATAAATATTATGAGTCACTTAATATAAATTATTTTTACTTTAAAAATATTCAAACAAACTGAAACTTCCTAATTATATCTCTAGTAGCAGAATTTATTAGGAAAAAAGCAAAGATTTATATAATGTAGTCATTTCCCTCTGTATAATATATAGTGTACATATAGTGTTATAGTATTTATAAATACAACCTAATATACTAATAAGAAAGGTACTGAAGCTGAAATATCTAAAAAACTTGAAAAACAGTATAAAAACTATAGTTTTTATAGTACTTTATAATAATTATTAAATTAGTTTTATAGTACTCTTCTGGCCACACTTACCAAAATCTTTAGTTGCGATTCGTGTTCCTAAATATCGTTATAATATCACATCACATAATAACCTTTTGGTAAATGATAGTTTGACAATATTATGACATCTAGTGAGGTCTTTTATATAAACACATTGTAGGATGCTTGCACAATGACAAAATCACCCAATGATACATTTTTAAGAATGTTTCTCTTTCACGAACCAAAGCTTGACTATCATACAATTAATGAAATCATGTAGGTATGTGGTCTTTCCTTAATTAGCATTTTCTTTTCAGGGACATATATGATTTACAAATGTGTTTCTATTTCTGTGATCACATACACAAACTTGCAATCACATACAATTTCTGTCTTTAGTGCCATATGGTCCCTTTTTAAATCTTTTGTCTACCAGATTGTATAGACTTTTACTATGGATTTGGTTTATCTACCTCATTTTCAAAAGTGAAATGAGATTTCTGATTAACTTGACTCATTCTTAAATGTATAGATTAAATGCCTCTTCATGTGTCTGTTCACATCTGGGATTCCAGATGTTTTCTGTAATAGTCATAAAAATCAGCATTTCCAGGGCAGTGAAAAACACAGAAGAATGAATAAAGAGAAAATTGTGTCCCTCTCTGCATATTATTTCCCAGAAATTGGATATTTTTCCTGTACCACCCAAATTTAATTCATCAAAACCCCAAAACTTAAACAGTCTTAATTCAGATTTAAGTAAACCAGAGTCCTAAATAGCAAGAAATGTATTTTCCATTTGAAGTTTCTCCTGGCTAGATAAATTTTACTGTCAGAATTGCCTAAAAGGAGGCAATTTGAAATATTTTCTTTGATGTGATTTCTTTAAAAGGAAAATCAGAGCTGGGGGTTGACACCCTATGCTGCAGCCAGAGCCAAATGACCATGGCCAGGAGGCTAGATAGACACACAAAAGTAGACATTAGCAGAAGGTCCAAGTTCCAAGTGTTGTGAGACAGGGTGGCAACAGATTGGTATCCTCTAAGTGTGATGAGGATTCTGATTCAGTGGGGGTGTCAGGAGTGTCTCTGGGTTGTTGGCACAAAGATGTTTTAGTATGTGAATGTGGGAAGAAGATTTCTAGTGTTCCTTCATATTACAAATAAGCCAAGGCACAGAAACATTTTTTCCAAACCATCCAAATAAATGAAAGTCCCACTATGAACTCTAACAAGTATTTCCATTTTCTTTAAAATAACTTTACTTTTTAAGATATACTTTATTTGAAAGGCAGAGTTACAAAGAGAGAGGGGGAGATGCACACACATACACACACACACACAGATCTTCCATCTGTTGGTCTTCTCCCCAAATGGCCAAAACGGCCAGGAGTGGGCCAGGCCTAAGCTAAGAGCCTACAACTGCATCTGGGTCTCCCACTTAGGTGTCAGGGACCCAGGTTCTTATTCCATCTTCTGCTGCTTTTCCACATGAATTAGCAGGGAGCTGAATGGGAATCGGAGCATCAGGGACCTGAAGTAATTCTTATACAGCTTAATCTCTTGCACCACAATGCCCATCTATAGCAAGTATTTCTGAATAAATTCTATACTTGGAGATTTCAAGGGAAACCACCAGGAAATTTTTAATATGATTTTTATCCATAGTATTTTTTTTGCACAAAGTAAAACTAGAAAGTATGCTTGAACATTTAAACATTTTGACTTCAGTATTCTGACATACAATTATTGAAATAAGGAAAAATAATCAAGATAAAATGAATAATGAAGACTTCATTTGTGATTTAAAAATTAAGGAATTACATACAGAATGAGGAAGATGCAACCTAACAGAATATATATTTAAGTTATTCCATATCAATATGATCTGATATTTACTTAATGCCTCCAAATTAAGTGAGAAGAATTATAGTTTTAGAAGAAGTATAACAATATACCACCATGTTGTATGTATCTTTTCTTCAATCCTGGGCATCTATGTTAGATGAATCCTGGCAATTATTATTATTTTTTTTTTTGACAGGCAGAGTGGACAGTGAGAGAGAGAGACAGAGAGAGAAAGGTCTTCCTTTGCCGTTGGTTCACCCTCCAATGGCCGCCGCTGCAGCCGGCGCACCGCGCTGATCCGATGGCAGGAGCCAGGATCCAGGTGCTTTTCCTGGTCTCCCATGGGGTGCAGGCCCCAAGCACCTGGGCCATCCTCCACTGCACTCCCTGGCCATAGCAGAGAGCTGGCCTGGAAGAGGGGCAACCTGGACAGAATCCGGCGCCCCAACCGGGACTAGAACCCGGTGTGCCGGCGCCGCAAGGTGGAGGATTAGCCTATTGAGCCACGGCGCCGTCTAGAATCCTGGCAATTATTTATTGAAGGCAGTAATCAATTCAATTCCATTTATCATCTATCACCAATGTTAATAATTTGCTTAGAAAATTCCTAGATGTTATGGAGAGTTTAGAAGGCATTTTATAGAAAAGATAATTTGTAAAATTGAAATAATAGTTGCTTCAAAAAGAGTAAAGTTTGTATGAGGCAGAATTAAATTTGAAGTCATACATTGCATTGCATCCTTTCTGAATGTATGAAAAAGTCTGAGTGTGAGAGTAATGATGACATGGGGGAAAAACTGAATGTATTGTCTTATTCCTTAACATGCTCAAGCAGAGAACCTGTGACATGCCTTGGCACCTCAAAAAAATAGTAGAGGTGAAACCCTAGCAATTCAATTTTTCCTCCTGGCTGTTTTGTGGCATGTACAGAATTAGAACCTAAGAAGCCTATCTTATTTTTCCCAATTCAGTCTGACTTATCTGTGTGATATTCACTAGCCTGCTTCTTCTCCTTTGGTAGTGGTTAATGTATTATAGTCACTTCATACCAGAAGAAAGTAGACTGTGAAATGGTTTTCCAACTATTTGTACAGTGTCCTGGAGAACAGCCTTGCAATAACTTCCCTTTTTATGTCTGATATGAAAGATCCCAAGAAATTTAGAACAGAGGGTATTATTTGAAACAAATGAAAGAAAATTGGCATTTGTTATATCAAAGTGGTTATTCTGTTTTAATGTCCATAGGCATAATAATTATAGATCTGTTTTCTATTATTGGTATGGTTCTCTAAAATCATTTATTTTTATCCCTTCTGGAGTGGGAGACTAATTTAGACTGAGAATTTAATCAAATGTGTCCTGTTTGTTTCTCAATTGTTTTTTTTAAACTTCTCTTGCTTCTCTGCATTTTTTAAATATTTTTTATTTATTTATTTGACAGGTAGAGTTACAGACACTGAAAGAGAGACAGATACAAAGGTCTTCCATCCGGTGGTTCACCCCCCAAATGTCTACAACGGCCTGCTCTAAGCCGATCCGAAGCCAGGAGATTCTTCCTGGTCTCCCAGGTGGGTGCAGGGGCCCAAGCACTTGGGCCATCCTCCACTGCCTTCCCGGGCCACAGCAGAGAGCTGGACTGGAAGAGTAGCAACCGGGACTAGAACTTGGTGCCATATAGGATGCTGGTGCTGCAGGTGGAGGATTAACCTAGCGTACCACTGTGCCAGCCCCTCAATTGGTTTTTACAACAATGTGGTATATAAAATCATGATCAGTTTACAATGCACTTCTTTTTTTAAGATTTATTTATTTATTTGACAGAGTTGCACAGAGAGAGAAGGAGTGGCAGAGAGAGAGAGGTCTTCCATTCACTGGCTCACTCCTCAATTGGCCACAGGGGCTGGAGCCATGCTGATCTGATGCCAGGAGCCAGAAGCTTCTGCCGGGTCTCCCACCCTGGTGCAGTGGCCCAAGGACTTGAGCCATCTTCTACTGCTTTCCCAGGCCATAGCAGAGAGCTGGATCGGAAGTGGAACAGCCGAGACTTGAGCCGGTGCCCATATGGGATGCTGGCATTGCAGATGGCGGCCCTACCAGCTACACCACAATACCAGCCACCAATATACTTCTTTAATGCTTAATAATATCATAGTTTAACTTGTATTAGAAAAAATTCATGACATACCATATAGTTTTGCTTATAAAAGTAGCTATTAGCATATATTATGAGCGTACTTTGATCCATATTGAGAGAAAAATTCAGTTTCATCTAGTGAACATACCAAGTTAATGCTCATAAATTTGTAATTCCAGAAATATGCAAGATATTACAGCCTCCCGAAATATACTTAAGTTCTTGACATCGGTAACCTAATATTTTCCCAAAAGATAGAAATTATATTCACAAAACTTTGTTAGCCTGAAGGTATCCATGAAAGTGTCCAAGATAAAGCAACTTTCCACTAACTTTTCATATGATTACAAAAATCTGAATAACAAAACTTATTTGAATGTGAGTCATTTCAAATGTGTTGAAATAATGCATATTCCTTGCAGGTCAATTTTCTCTACCTCAGTGGATATTTTATGACAGTGTAACCAACATATAGAGTCTTCGCCTGAGTAACTATTTGACATAATGGCAATTATGAAACTTTATAAAATGTAAAAATAAACCATTGTGAAGGAATTCCATATGATTGAAACCTGAGGATATTAGTAACAAAACATGGAGGGTATGCACAATTTTTTACTTAAAATTATTATAACATTCTGCAAAAGACTTATACTAGCGAAGCAAAAATAAAAGGGAAATATCTGAGTATAATGGCCGTAACTTAAATGTAGTAAAAAGTATATTTGCCCTTGGTCAAAGATCTGCATTTCCATCAATCAGGTAAATTGTGTCTCAATCTGCAAAGCATAGAAGGTAGTATCTATTCTGCATAATTCACAATATTACTGTGCATTAAGCCAGGATCAGAAACTAAAATTGTTATGAACTATTAAGGTATATATTTGATTAATAAATGAACACAGAATCAGAAATCTTGCTTGTGGTCTATAGCCTTATGATATCTTAGTTTTATTTTTTAGGCTGCATTTTTTTACTGTTTTAATTTTAATTAATTTTTAACAGATTCAATATGATTTGTAGATAGAAGTTTAATAACATAATGATATTTCCCACCTTACTTCTACTCTACTTCCTTCTACCTTTCTTTCTTTTTAAAAAAATTTTTGAGCTAACATATTTTAGATTTACCTTAAAGTAAAAATGCTTAATACCTCTCTAAATAAGAAGTTTAAAAAGTATAAAGCCAAAAGATCCTACTGTAGTGAGAACATAGACAATGGCTATAAACAATAATTGAATGTATAAATGACGATTTCACCCATATACAGTTTTTTGGTCAATTAGTCATTCATAACTTCTTTCAATGAAATACAACGAATGTCAATGTAACAGCTAAATATTTCCTGTGTGGTTATAAGATAATAATTAAGTTGATTTGGACTTTAAGCCATTTCCTTTCATTGTATTTGAATGATATAAACGTCTGAAAGGAGACAAGTTCTTAGAGAGCAAGAGCCCTGTTTCTACAGTTAGAGACTCTTAATCTCTTACATAAAACTCTGAATCTAGAACAAATGACTACAAAGAGAAAGAAAACTGCAATTTGTTTTATCTAGTCTCATTGTCCACAGGTTTTACTGGGAACATTGACTGGTACAAGGGCAGAGGAAGGATGGTTGACTCACAAGTGATGTGGGTGAACTGAGCCACTCTAGGACTATGACCTTGACTATGGCTCACACTGGTCAGCTTCCCTTGGATTCTGTCCATTATCCAAGTCCAATTCTCCCATCTTCCTGTGGTTTCTGTGAACTTTTGAACATCTTTCCATAATATATGTATTTTCTGCCTACAGGAGTCATAGTTGATGTTTGCTGCCTGCAGTAAAAAAATTGATTATGTGATATAATGAATTCACCAGCAGTTTGTTTTGACATGTAGCATGAATATAGTAATATAACAGATACTCTCTTTTTATGACTAAACAAAGTTCCTCTTTCTTCCTAGAAAATTCTCCCTTTATTCTATCACTCTGATCTTTAAATATCTTAATATGTTTAACACCGTCTCAAGGTGTTCTGTGATGCCTTCCCTGGAATAGTTTTATGGAGCAGGAGTGTGACTGTGTTGAAGACTCCTATTGGGATGCCTGCATCCCACACTGGAATGCCTGGGTTCAAATCCCAACAATGCTTCCAATTCCAGCTTTCTGCTGCAGTAGTCTAAAAGGCTGCAGGTGGTGGAACAAGTATTTGAGCCCCTGCCACTCACATGAGAGACCCAGATTGAATTCTAGTCACCTGGCTTCCCCCTATCCTTGTTCCTGCCGTTGCAGGCATTTGGGGGAGAGAACTAGACAAAAGCACTGTCTTTCCCCCACTCTGTAGCTCTGCATCTCACAGATATTACAAAAAAAGAAAAAAAAAACTAAAAAAGAAACCCTTACTCATATACTCATTCCTTTTATAGTCAGATCTCTATCAGTTCATAAATTATAATATGGTAAGCATTGTTCTAAAACTGTCTGCTACCAAAGAAGGAAGACTGATACATTAGTAACGTATACTTTAGTGTCTACAGTTGTTCTACTTTTCACTAAAATATAGTGCTTCACACTGTTCATTTTGTGTAATGGAATTGATGGTGTATTTCTCAGGACTGATTTATTTGGCCTAGCTTATATCAATTGATTCATTTTAGAACATTTGACAGAATAGTTGCTATCAAAATAATGCTGTATACAGAACACATAAACATATTATTGAATGAAGAATGAACTGAAAGATCATAAGTTCTCAAAGATGATGCTCACAGCAAGAGAATTAAATTGCATAAAAATCAAGTCACTACTCTGAAATACATGTGCAATAAAAGCTTAAGAGAAAAATGTAAGATGAACTCAATTTCTCAGCCATTGCCATGAGTAGAGATGCACATCCTGCTGTTATGTGAACAATTATCATGCCTTGAGGGAACTGAATGAATGCTGGCACCTATTGGTAGATAGAATAAAAGTCTAAACTCATCCTCCTATCATGAAGCTCACAAGCCATATGTTACAAACTAATGCATTAAATCAGCATAATGAGTAAGGTAACACATTTTACCACTGCTTGCTTACATTGCAAAAACTGTAACACTGTTAATATAAATTGCCTGTAAATCATTGAATGTCTTTGATCTTGCAAATCTTAAAAATTATTAGGACACATGTAATGTAGAAAATATCCCAGGATTTGTATGGTAAAAACACAAGATTATATTGAACTTTGACCTAAGTAATATTTTTTATTTTCTCTTAAAACTTCCAAACTATATGGTTTATACTTGCCTTCAGGTACCATATCCCCCTTGTATCACTTTAGTAAAATAGAATTGTGCATATCATATGCAGATATGATATCAAAACCCTTATTTTCACTTGTTGGATTATACTTACAAATATATTTTAATTGTGCAACTTTGACTTTCATGTTAACTACTATTACTATGTTCTATGCATAATAAATATGCAAAATGACAGCCTTAGGGTTTATGTCAAGGAGACAATGAGTGCTTGATGATTGACAACTAACACATAAACTGCATTTAAACTAGGAAGTCTGTAGAATTGGGGCCGGTGCCAGTTTAAGTCTTGGCTGCTCCACTTCCAATCCAGCTCTCTGTTATGGCCTGGGAAAGCAGTGGAAGATGGCCCAAGTCCTTTGGTCCCTGCACCCCTGTGGGAGACCTGGAAGACACTCCTGGCTTTTAGTTTTGGATCAGTCCAGCTCTAGCCGTTGCGGCCATTTGGGGAGTGAACCAGTGGATGGAAAGCTCTCTATTTCTCTCTCTCTCTATCTCTCCCTCTCTCTGCCTGTCTGTAACACTGCCTTTCAAATAAATACAGAAATCTTAAATAAATAAATAAATCTGCAGTATCAAGTATCTTTACGTCTGCCAAGTAACAGTTAGGCTCTATGGAGGGAGATGGAGCGTCAAATGAAGAGGCAGTAAATTTTGTACTTCTTTCCCTCATTGTTCCTGGTAGAAACTCCATGGGCATCTCTGAAAAGAAAAATGGGCAGGTCAGAGTGAGGCCACCAGGAATAAAAAAGAGTGAGGTTTGTGTAATTACCCTACCTCTAAGCCTCCTCATAATAAAATCAGTTAGTCAACAGTGTGCTCTGCACTGTGGAATATTTAAATGAACACAAGACACAGTCTTTTCAAGGAGGTTAAAATTCAAGTTAGGTGTCAACACATACAAATTAAAGTATGAAAAGTAAAGAGAGAGAGATTGGGGTAGGGGAAGCAGAGAAAGAAAGAGAAAAAGTGGGATAAACTTAAATGAAATGGACCAAATTACTGCTTGACTCCTGAAAAGTCGGAAGCTTCCCACAGAAGATTAGAGTTGATTTGATTCATAAAGGAAGTGAAAGATAGATCTAGGTGAGAAAAAGGTATTAGAGAATGCCACAAAAAGGCAAGGCAGAATAAGGATAGCCATTATGCTAGCTACAAGTACCCCTTGTTTGAGAAAGGGAGGAGGACTCCCTGATTAAATGTCAAAGAATAATTTGATAAATGTTTGGGTAGGAAGGAGTATATAGCTCATGGAAAATATTGAAAAAGTGCAGATGTTTGGTCTTGATATGCTAGATAATAAGGAAATACTGAAGAAAATACAATTTGATTCAAAGCTAATACATATTAATGTAATTCCAAGCTACTGCCTGGCCATTGTGCAGGATGTTATCTAGCTAAAATAATTTCCCCTGTTTTATAGATTCAAAGGAAGGGGAAGTCTCCAGGAGTTATATCAACTAGGATTGATGAGATATTTTTAATGTTATATGTTGGTTAGGTATTCGGGTGTTTCAGCTATAATCAGTTTGTGGTTTCTTCATGAGTAAAACATTTTCTACTTTTCTTGAAAGTTTATTTTAGATGTCAAAAAAGATTTAAAAATATGAAATTTCCACTAAAGATAACTTTGTAAATTAACACTTTTAAACTTCTAATACTCTGTCTCCTTCATCAAAATATGTAACAATGGTAGGTAAAATATATAAAGAGATGCTAAAAAATAAGCATTTCTAGGTATTAGTAGAATATAAAGCTATGAGTATGAGTAAAGCCATATGCTCTATGGAATTCAGATCTCAATATATGCTGAGAAGCCTTAAGTTCACTTTGTATAAATAAGAAATCTGGAAACTGCATTATGTAAGGTTGTAGACTGAGATTACAGACCTCCTAAAACCAGAGTGTGCTCATTTTATTCAATGTTCCATTATTATAACAAAAATCTTAAACTTGGCAAAGAAAATAGGTTATTTTCAATGATGGCTCCAGAGATCTAAGGCCAAGGGTTATATCAGATGATGGTTTTCTGGCTTGCAGGGACCCAAGGCAGTGCAGGATGTCACAGGGCAAGAGATGGAGAGTGCACGAGTATATCATTGTCTACAACTCTACTTCTGAAGTTGCCAGTATTCAATCATGTCACTCCACCATGATGTCCTTGCCTAATCCTCATCACTTTTCAAAGTCCTCACCTCTCAACTCCACTACCAGATTATTTTCTACACTCTTGAAATGTCACAATGGAGATGAGACTCTCACATAAGTTTTGGAGAGGATAAAGTACATTCAAACCATAGCAAAGGGCTAATGAGGATTTTCATTGATGGCAGAAGGAGCTAAAATAAGTTGCACTCAAATAGGCCCTAAAGTTATGGGTTATAAAATTAAGGATCTTGGAAGTAGGTGGGTAAATACTCAGTTTTAGACCAGAGTTTTAATTAGTCCACTTCTGACTTAGGATCTGGATTTGCAATGTCCCATTTGTTAAATCCACATCAGGCTGCTCACATGATATGCCATAAGCAGGTAGCTTGCCAACAGCATAAACTTACTTCTCACAGATTTAGGGGTTGGGAAGTCCAAGATCAAGGCAAATACAATGAAGGCCTGCATCAGAGCCATTCTTTTGTTCCAACTTTGTATGACAAAAGCAGTGAATGAGCCCTCTGGTGTCTCCTTGATGAGTGCACATGTTCCATTCATGAGCGCTCTATCCTTATGACTGAATTCCTTTTAAGAGATCCAACCTGTTAACACCACCACCTTAGAGGCTAGGATTTCAGCACATGAATTTTGGGGACATGCAAACGTTCAGCTCACAGTACCCAGTATCACTGAAGGATAGAAGATTACAGCTGATCTTAGGAGATTTGGCTCTGGACTGGAGGCAACCCAGTTAGACAAATAGAAACAGTATTCATGATGGGTCATGAGAAGAATAAAAAGAAAGAGAGAGAAAAAGAAAAACACTGCTCTAGTCATTGCCACATATATCACTTAAGATGAACCTGAAAAGCTGAATTTCCAGTAAACCCAAAGATTACAGGATAACCATTCCAAATGAATTTTTACATATGAAATAGGAATAATATGATAGCATGAAAAAGATTTTTAAATAGTTTTATTTAAGGTATTATAAGAATAAAAGGGGCAATAAAACTGAAAAGTTTATTTTAACAGGAATGGAGCAAAATTTACCATCAGATGGCAATCAAAGGATCCATTGGAAAGATCTGAAAAATTATCAATAATGAGAACAAAAATTCAAGATGAGGTAAACTTTAGAATTTGTAGAATTGTGTTTTATTATGTTAATTGGACCCAATGAGAGAGGCAAGTGTGTAAATACTTTGGAATGATTCACATATGCCAGAGGGTGAGAATTAAAGCCTTCAAAAATCTGAAGCTTACACATCAGTGAAATTTTATGTATTTCAATAATCTTTGGCATGTCCAAATATCCTTTTGTATCAGTGGCTGTAAGACTTTAGAGTTAGTATCACCTGTAGATTAATAAATTTTGGCAAGGGGTCAATAATTTGTATTCTTGGAGCAGGCATTTGGAATAGTGATAAAAAGCACTTTGGATGCATCCATCCCATATCAGAGTGTGTGAGTTCAATTTTTGGTTCTAACTCGGATTACAGCTTCCTGCTAATGCACACCCTGAGACACAGCAGGTGATGGCACCATTATTTGGGTCCCTGCCATCCACGTGGGTAACTGAGGCTCTCAGTTCCAGCCCAGCCTATCACTGGCTGTGTGGGCATTTGGGAAATGAACCAGCAGGTATGAGATCTCTCTTTGTGTCTTTCTGTCTCTCTTTTTCTCTCTGCCTCTCTACTTTCCAAATAAAATAAGAATTTGTATTTCTAACAAATTGCCAAATAATGCAAAGCAGAAAACAAGATGCTATTTGAAAAGCAAAACCTTGTAATCTATTGAGTATAAACTTAGGTCCAATGCCATCCATGAGAGGCTACCATCAAAGAAGCATAAGACCAGGCAGATACAGTGGTGATTCTTCATGTAATAGAAATGACACATGGGCCAGTGAATTCTAGAGGAGCCAGGGAACATGTGTTTCAAGAACAGTGACCCTAGTTTCATTACTGTTTCTCCTTTGACTTTATACCTATGACCTCCTGGAGGCTGATTAAGTATCACTGACAAAGGTGGATACTAATTTAACAATTTAACAAATTGTTATTGGAAAAATACGAAGTCTTTTTCAGTGCTGGCTCCTAAGAAAAAGACAAAAGGAAATACTCTTCCTGAGAAAAGAACTATGTACTCATCGGCTCTGGGGAGATGGAGATGTTAAGTTCAGATAACAACCTACCCCCAGGCAGGCATTGATGGACTATTTGTTTGCAGTAGATATTTAAACAGAGACAGAAAGAGTGGAGTTAAAGTAGCTGACAAATAGTCAAGTGGAGATGGTATAAACCACATACATTATTGGTCTCTCTTAATATTACTCCCAGAGATCTATTTGGTAAACAATATGGAAAGAATAGTGATGTAGATACTGAGGAATGAATCTGAAAAACTCACTACACCATATATTAATACAATGTACTATTAGTATATACCAACAACATAGAGTATACAATAGCAAGTTAATTGATAAATTTGAGTTTACAAATCAGTGAAGAATTAACTCTGCAGTAAAACTAACATGAGTGTTTATATGTAAAACTTATTTTTTATTTTTATTAATAAAAACAGAACACATTTAATATATTTTATAGGTACAGTTTTAAATATATTTTTCTTCACTTTGTAAAACGCAAATCTACTGCAGTCAGATAATGATTTAAATATGAAAAAATAAATTGTTAAAAATGTGAAAGAAAATAAAAGAAGCCATGACCTAGAATGTGAAATATTAACTTCAAGAAGACAGAAAGTGGGACCAGTGGTATGGCATAATAAGTGAAGCCTCATCCTTTGATGCCAGAAACCCATATGGGCTCTGGACCATCTCAAAACTGCTCCAATCAGCTCCCTGCTACTGACCTGGGAAAAGCATCGAAAGATGGCCCAAGAGTTTGGGTTCCTGCCACCCAAGTGAGAGACACAAGCTCCCAGCCCTGATTTTGCAGTCATATGGACAATGAACCAGTGAATGGAAGTTCTCTCTCATTTCATCTCTCTCTGTCTCTCCTTCTGTCTCTGTAACTATGACTTTCAAATAAATAAATAAATCTTAAAATGAAGACACAAAGAACACTAAATATCTAAGAAAATATCTGTATATTTGGCTGTAATTAATTTAAATTTTGCCTGTACGAATAAAAAGATAAACCATAAACAAAAAGGAGGTATCATCTGTTATATATACATATATGCATGTGTTTATATATATGTATATAGAAACCAAATATTGTATCATTTATTATTAGAAATATCTTCAATAATAAAACAATAATAAAGTAACAAGTCAATGGGAAAATTCATAGAAAAAATTCACAAAAAGATCAAAGTAAGCAATAAGCACAGAAAATTTAACATCACTAATAACCATAGAAATGAAAATTAAAACAATTAAATGATGTTATCGACATGAAATGGGCAAGAACCTTAACATGTATGACAAGGCCAACAGCAGGAATATTGTGGGATGTTATTTGGATCTGCTTTGTGTTCTCAATGGAAGTGTAAAATGCCAGCAGCGATTTGGGAAGCATTTGGCTCAGATCTATGAACAGGAAAGCTTAGAACTACTGTATCATTTAGAATGAGGTATAAGTATAAATAATTGTAAATCAGTTTACAGCAGCTTAATCAATAAAGGGGTTTATCTCAGACATTAAAATAAAAGTCATCTGGGCAGGCACCCGAAGGCTAGAGCAGTGGCTAACAATGGCCTCAAGCAACCAGACTTATTTCGTCACTCTACTCTCCTTAATGTGTGGCTGTTGCACCTGCAGGATCATCACAGTCCAGACAAGAGAAAGATCACTGATGACTGTCAGCCCTTTAAGCCTAATTGCATTGGTCAGGACTATCTCATAGCATAGCTACTTACAGCCACAAGCAAAGCTGGGATTCAGAGTAGCTTGTTTTTCAAACTCTAAAGTTGAGGTATATTATTCTTAATGATTTGTCTGATGAATATTTAAAACAAAGTTTGACAAGACAGTATATTACTGCTATAGTTTGAATGATCTATGACTATGTTGAAATTTTCTGTATGAGTGAAATTCACATATTTTCATTTGATTTTTATTAATAGACCTTGCTATGTTCCTGCTGAACTATAGTTTCTTTTACTTTTATTTGTTGAACTCTTTACTTAGTGAAGCATTAAGCTTTTGACTATATTGTAAATTAAAAATATGTTATCCAAAAAAATATGGAGGGCTTTTTATGGTGGTGAATGTATCAATCAGCAGCACCCACTTTCTCGGCACACTCATGTCTGTACATACATCCCAGAGTGCATTCTGTGTTCAGGGGGCATCGCTTTGGACTTTCATAGAGACACACAATCTCAGAATCCATCCCAAATGCACTGAATAATATTTGTATTTTAACAGGTGTTTTATGAACGTTCACTTGGAAATTACAATTTGAGAAGCAGCACTCTAGAAAATACATCTGCATATGTAATAGTGTATGCTGTTTCTTACAGGCAAAAGGGTAAACAACTCAAAAATCCACCAATAACAGAATCCATAGATATTTTTCAATAGAATAACACACAGCATAAGTAAAATGAACAACTGGATCAATTGTTAATTATTTTTATTTGTTTGAAAGGCAGAGTTACAGAGAGAGGGAGAGACAGAGAGAGAGCATTCATTTTTTTGGTTCACTTCCCAAATGGCCACAATAGCCAGGGCTTGGCTAGGCTGAAGCCGAGAGGCAGGAGCTTCATCAGAGTCTCTCACATGGGGGCAGGGTCCCAAGTATTTGGGCCATCCTTTACTACTCTCCCAGGTGCACTACCAGGGAGCTGAATCAGAAGTGGAGCATCTAAGACTTGAACTGGTGCCCATATGGGATGCCGCCATTGCAGGTGGAGGCTTAACCTGCCACTCCAAAATGCTGGTGTCTGATTGATTATTATTAATGTGGAAAATACCAAAAATATAATATTAGTGTTAAGACAGTGTAAAATTAAATCAACAATATGATATTATTTGTGTACATTTTAAATGTACTAAAGTATTTTTCATTAGATACATATACATTATCAAAAAATTTAAAAATGCATCAATGGAAGTTGATCATTGACTTACTGATATTTGTTAATGTGGAGATAAAAAGAGAATAAAATGTGATTGAGAAAGAGGACATTGTGGTTTCAAGTGTATCTATCTCATTTTTCAAAAACCCAAAGCAAATATGAAAAAGTGTTAGTATATGTGCCTGAATATGTATATTGGTATCCACCAAATCATTCTCTAAAAATGTTATAACTTTAAAATATTTCATAAAGTATTTCTAATTTTTTAAAATTTTATTTTAGAGACAGAAAAATACAAGAGATCCCACCTGAGGGTCCACGCTCCAAATGACTCTGATAATTAGAGCTTTGCCAGAGTTGAAGCTGGGAGTCAGAAGCTCAATCCATGTCTCCAGCATGGATGTAAGCGACCCGACTACTTGAGCCATCAGCTGCTGCCTTCCAGGATCCGCCTTAACAGAAAGCTGAAGTCAGGAGTCAGAACCAGATATGAAACCCAGGAACTTCAATATGAGACACGGACATCTACGACACTAAACGCCCAGTCCATCATAAGTTATTTTGAAAGGATAGTAATATTGTAACTATTTTCTAATTGACAGTTTGTTCTTAAATGATTGAACAATAACTGAACAAAATGAATACATCTTTTATGAAGATTAAGCAAGCAGTAGAGTAACATTTGTAACAGATTTATGATAGTAAGACAGGACATTTCAGTGAATTTGTAGCTCAGTCCTGATAATAGCAGTCGGAAAATATAAGAACATATATTAATACATGCACTGTACACACATTTATAACTGGGTTGCTTCAAAACTACTGAAAATGAATGGAGAAGCAAGGAGTTGAAGCTGAAATTTAAGTCTGCTTTTCAAAGGAAGCTGAACACTCTTAGCATCTGTGTGCCATCTTCCTAGGCTCTCATAACTCACCTCTCCACTCCCTGCTTTGGCTTTGTCAGTGATTTTATTATATGTCTATTCCTTTTATAAACATTGTATCTGCTCAGAAATTTTGCATCTTACTTCTTGTCATGATATTTGCTTCATTATTATTATGCATCTTGATCCATGTTTTCTGTGCTTAATGTCAGCACTAGAAGTCGCAGACTGCTTTACACTGTAGAAAACAATTTCTTACATATAATATGCTGACATAGACATAAGACTTTGTCACAAAAGAACAATTCACTGTGTATCTTTTTTTTTTTTCTCTTCTCTGTGCACCACTTTCACATTTATTAGTTATAAGAAAAGTAATAGGGGCGGGCACCACGGCTCACTAGGCTAATCCTCCGCCTTGCGGCGCCGGCACACCAGGTTCTAGTCCCGGTCGGGGCGCCGGATTCTGTCCCGGTTGCCCCTCTTCCAGGCCAACTCTCTGCTGTGGCCCGGGAGTGCAGTGGAGGATGGGCCAGGTCCTTGGGCCCTGCACCCCATGGGAGACCAGGAGAAGCACCTGGCTCCTGCCTTCGGATCAGCGTGGTGCACTGGCCACAGCGCGCCAGCCGCGGCGGCCATTGGAGGGTGCCATTCCAAAGGCAATGGAAGACCTTTCTCTCTGTCTCTTTCTCTCACTGTCCACTCTGCCTGTCAAATAAATAAATAAATAAATAGCTGTTTTTTTTTTAAAAAAAAGAAAAGTAATAGGGAGAAAATTTAAGTGACATGCTATGAGTATCCAAATAGAGAATGGAAAGCCCAGAGTCTGAAGCAATCCCATGCGCGTTCCCCTCTTCTCTTTGTTGCTTTCACTGTCTTTCCAATATCTTGAAACTATAACCCAGAGATTGAGAGGTTTCTACCAAAAATATGAAAGCTCATTTTGATATTGGCCTTAAGTACCACTATTCTTTGTGTATGCCTATAATAGATGCCAGGATAGTTGATTGATATAGAAAGCTATCCGTGGCTATTCGGACAATTTTACCTGCATATAAAAGTGCCTGAAGCAGGAGCTTCCAGAGGGTAATTATATATCTAGAGCGGGAAGACTTTTAAATTGGTAAATCAAGAAGAAAAAACTAAATTGACATTAGTTGCACATAATATATTTCCATTCCTGGTAAATGCAAAGGACCACTTAAAAACTAATAAAACTAATGAGTACTTAGAGAAATCACTAGATACAAGGAAACATACCAAAATAATAGCTTCTTCAAATGCCAGCTATAATCAGGAACACAAACACACACACACACACACACACACATACACATTTAAAGCCCAAAAAGCAATCCTCCTAAATATTTAGAAATAAACTTTGTAAATTACAGAGAATTGTAATTGAACAGAATAAAAGAGTAGTAAAAATGCTTTTGAAACAAGATGCTATATTCCCAGGTAGCTTGAATCAATAGTATAAATTTGTCAGCCATCCTAAAATAAGCATGCAATTTAATCTCCCTCAAAATTGTAATTTGAAGCAGATATGCTGACATGGAAATGTCAGCCAACATATGTTATTGGTCGCAGAAAAGCAAGATGTAGAACATTTGATACTTTCTTACTCATCTAAGATTAGAAATACATAATAAATAGAATGTAAATGTATTTTTCTTCTTTTCTCTGTGTATGAATTTACAAAAGCAAAGAATAATGCACAACAAACTATTAACACTGGTGACTGCTAGGACACAGGTGAGCAAGACAATAGAATTTTTATGTTATATATTTTGTATTGCTTGAAATATTTATGATGACCATGTATTGCTTTCGAAATAAGAAAATGAATAAATCTATAAAAATGAACGCACATCATATTAGGGGGCATAAAGGCATCCTTTTTGGTAACTTCTAGTTGATTTACAGAACAGTTCTAAGAAGAGTACTCACTAATATGTGGAACATAAAAAGTCAAATTCCTAGAAAAAGAGTTAAAGGACAGGGTTTGTGAAGATGCTGATCAAATGACACAAAACTCCCATTAGATAGGAGGAGCAAGTTAAAAAACTCTATTCTATATCATGGTAACGATAGAAAATGACAATATAATATATTTATACTTGAAAATTGCTAAAGCAGTAGATTTTAACTATTCTCATTCACAGAAAACCAAATGTGTAGATTATGTTAATTAGGTTGATTTAGCCATTTCATAAGAGAATACATGAAGGAGTTTGAGGAAGTCTTAGTTCACAGGGAGAAGGACATGGAGAGACAGAGAGACAGGTAGTAATGTGGCCATGAGTCAAAGTATGCCAGTAGCCTCACAAATTCAGAATCCAGTGACAGATTCTGTCCAGGAACTTCAAGAAGGAAGCAGATGTGCCAGAATCTTGATTTTATCCCTGTCTAACCAGCTCTTAGCATCTCACCTCTAGAATTTTTAGAAGAATATATTCATATTGTCTTGAGTCACCCGGTATGAGATGATGTGTTACAGAAGCCACAAGTAAACAAATACCCACATGAAAGGTGCACTCAGAAATTTGTATAGGGAAACCAAGTACTCTGTTTGCCAAATAATATATAGATTAATGATATTGAGAATGTTTAGAAAGGCAAAGCAAGAGGGAGAAGGAAGTGAAAATCATCATGGTATGAGTAGAGCCAAAATTTAACTTATAAGCAAGAAAATTCAATGAATATCATCTTTTTTAAAAAAGATTAATTTTATTTATTTGAAAAAGTTACAGAGAGAGGTAGAGACAGAGAGAGGTCTTCCAACTGCTGGTTCACTCTCCAGATGGCCACAACAGTCGGAGCAGCCAGGATCCAGGACCTTCTTCCAGGTCTCCCATGTGGGTGCAGGGGCCCAAGGACTTGGGCCATCTTCTATTTCTTTCCCAGGCCACAGCAGAGAGCTGGATCGGAAGAGGAGCAGCTGGGACTAGAACTAGCACCCATATGGGATGTTGGCCCTTCAGGCAAGGGCTTTAACCTTCTGTGCCACAGTGCCGGCCTGAATGGCTGAGATAGTCATCCAATCAATCAGCCAATCAACACACAGATATTGATTGTGTATAATATATATTGCTTGGGATGGAAAAGTAATGAGAAGTAGATTGTGCTTTCCCATAATTTACAACTATGTAAGTCAAACAAACCACTGAGTAAATTAAGATAAATTGTGGTACGAGGGGCCGGCTCTGTGGCGCAGGTTAATCCTCCACCTGCAGCACCTGCATCCCTTATGGGTGCCAGTTCTGGTCCTGGCTACTCCTCTTCCAATTCAGCTCTCTACTATGGCCTAGGGTAGCAGTAGAGGATGGCCCAAGTCCTTGAGCCCTTTGCACCCACATGGGAGACTGGGAGGAGGCACCTGGCTCCTGGTTTCGGATCAGCGCAGCTCCGGCTGTTGTGGCCATCTGAGGAGTGAACCAACAGAAGAAAGACCTTTCTCTCTGTCTCTCCCTCTCACTGTCTGTAACTCTGCCTCTCAAATAAATATATAAAATATTTTTAAAAAATCGTGGTACCATCACTTGCTTTGTAGAATGATCACTCTGACCTCATTGATGGAGACTGAATTGAGAAGACAGTATTAACCCCAAAGTGAGCAAAAGTGTATGTCCTCTGTGGAAGCCACAGGTGAAGCCTGGATCATAAGCGGAATGAGATCAGGGTTGAGCAGCAGTAGGGTTATGGGTCAAAGGATGTCTTATTTGCACTCTAAGGACTCTCAAGGAGTACCCAGAGAAGGGATGCCTGGAGTTTTAGAGATCACAAAAATAGTGCCACTTTTATTCTCTAAATAGGGAATCATTCTAATATGAAAGACAAAAATGAAAAAAATTACATCAAACATATATTTGTCTAACTAATATTTATAGCTAGTATAATAGGGGCTAGTATTTTGGCCCAGTGGGTAAAAATCACCACTTGCAACACTGGCATCACATATGAGTGCCTGTTTTTGTCCTAACTGCTCTACTTGTGATCCAACTCCCTGCTAATGGCCTAGGAAAAGAGGAGGAAGATGGCCCAAGTGTTTGGGCCCCTGCCCACGCGGGTGAGAACTTGGTGAAGCTCCTGGCTCTTAGCTTTGGTTTGGCCCAGCCCTAACTGTTGTGGCCATCTGGGGAATGAACCCACAGATGAATGATTTCTGTCTCCTTGTCTCTCTGTACTTTTACTTTCAAATAAATAAATAAACTTTAAAAAATAAGGTGAGGTTGCTTCTGATCATGGCTACAACAGTGCCATTGATCTATTTCTAACTTGCATAACGGGGTGATGAAGAAAAATGTACATATATACAAGAAACACAACTTTGCATATTTGTTTTGTATAATATTTGGTATTCTATTAAGGTTCTGGAAAGATAATCTATTATTCAATATCCACATTTGTTTTCACGCTGTAGTATTGGTTTTAAAACATAAACTTTTTGAGATAAGGGTGGTTTGGTCTTGTTAATCTGCTCCAAAGCCATTTCAGTGTCATGCACACATTATACACTAATTGGATTTCTGATGCATCTTTAAAAACTAATTTCAAAACACTAAGTAATCAGTGGCTTTGTCTTCAATACAAGACATTGCATCAGCAAAAAGTGTTTATTACTCAGCCACCTGTGTTCTGCACAAAGCAATTTAAGCAGACACAGACGCAGTCCCTGCCCTGAGGAACTGTCTAAAGCCAGTGCCATTGTAACATTCAAAGATAGTCAGACAACAGCACTAATGACAAACACAAGCTACCAACATTATTAAAAATAAAAGAACTCACTTCATAAAGTTATTTGAAACAAGATGAGCTAGCATGTTATTTTGGAAAAAATTACGTGATAACTTAGAAAATATTCGATCAACTTTGTTGAATTATATAACGCATACAGGAATCACTTTTATCGTCTAGAGATGGAAAGATTACAAAGCAAATATGGATTTTTCCTTAGAGTAGACTACATACACCACACTCCATAAGAAATGGACTTTAGGTCATTTATCTACTGAGAACCAGGTTCATGTTTCTGTCTTCAGATTCCAGTAGATTGTGGCCTTCTTGAAGGAGAGGACCAAGAGATACCATTGTTTGTACACACATTCTCACATAGTGTCTTGTGTAAAATACAGGCCTTACAGAAATGTGGAGGATAACTAAGAATAAAAAGCACAAAATAATATTAGCCCAGGCTTTTGTACAAGTAGCAAAATTCCCATGGGTGCCCTCTTCTTACCAGGTCTGCTATTGAATATTTGTGCAGGATTATGAATGTTTTCTTCCCCTTCAGAGAAAAGAAAATATTAAATCATCTCAGCATTTCCTATAACACTTTCCCATAACACAGATTTACCATATTTGCTTTGTACCAACCACTATCAAATGTTTTTTTTTTTTTTTTCAATTGCAAACAGATGTTAAGTGAACTTCCAATTTTAAAGCATTTGAGTCCCTTTTGTAGCTTCAGCAGATATGGCACTCAAGCTATGTAATATAACTTGGGAACATCATTTTCATAGACATGTAAATGTAGCTGGGAGTGGAATTGCACATGGTGCTGCCCCTGAGAAAATTAGGGTGGCACACATGATTCTCAGTGTAGACAATATTTCTTCTCACTGACAGATGTTCATTCAGACTACCTTGTTAGAGCAATCTCTTCACTAGAACAGAAAGTCTCACTCTCTCATACGAGTGTTCTCTCCAAACACAGCATTTTATTTTCTGCCAAGTAGAGAAGAAGCAGATTAACACAAAAACTACAGAATTTAAATATTTATGACATCCTTATAAATCTATTCTAGAGAAAAGGAATTACAGGCTTTCCATCAAGCCATGGAATAGCTTTATTCAATAAAGTTTTGAGACCAGAACTTATATTAAATTAAATCAATCAAATCAACTAAAAAATTGGCGATAATCTAAACTCAGATGCATGCTGTGATATGAGTTTGGAAAAAATATTTTAAGAGCTGTCTTCCTTTAAAGAGTTTTCTGGGAAAATACAAATTACATAGCACATAGAGTGAGGTCAGTTTGTTTACTAACACACTTAGGGAAATTTTTATGGAACATGAAACATAGATTTTTGTATACAATCACTTTTATTACATTAAGTTCACATTTTACATAATCATATTCAAATGTTATTATACATAGAGAGACAAAGAGGTGGTATGGAGGACAGAACGTCACTAAAAGAAGGGTAGTGAAACAGAATAAATATTGAAAGGAAATAAATATAGCATTTCACACTTTTTTGGTAGACCGACTGATGAAACTGTAAGCGTTACTTGCATAAGATTTTCATCATTGTAGTGTGATATGATCATATTGAGATTATTGTATCTGAGTTTTAAAGATTCAAAACATGCTGCGTTTAGGTTGAGATAGGGAGATAAAGATGGGCTCTGCCTTATAAAGAGAAAAAAATGCAAAGAAGTAGTGGGTTTCCAGATCAAGATGAGTAAAAATAAACTTTTAGGACACCCTATCGCAGTTGCAAGGAGTAGCCAGCCCTTTTAGAGCCCTTAAGGCTGCACGACTGCAGTTGCAGTATCCCTGTCTTCAACACAGAATTTATTCTCCTATCTATGCTAATGTAGCTTGAAATGCAAGGGGCGCTTGAAGATCAGTATCCTCTTCAAGCAGACTGACATTTTAAGTAATTTCTTTATAAATTTTCTCTTTTTAAGGAAAAAGAGAGATATTTTTTACTTGAAAGAGTTACAGAGACATAGAGGAAGAGACACAGAGCAAGAGACCTTCCATCCACAGGTTCACCTCCAAGATGGTCCCAATGGCCAGTGCAGGAGCAGGCTGAAGCCAGGAGCTAAGAGCTTCTTCCAATTCTCCCACATGGGTAGCAGGAGCCCAAACACTTGGACCATCCTCCACTGATTTTCTCAGCCATTAGCAGGGAGATGAAACAGAAGTAGGTCAACCAGGACTTGATGCCCTTATGGGATGGTGGGATCACAGGTGGGTAATTTGCCAGCTACACCACAATGCAAGCCCCTGTACAGATGTTCTTAAGTTGAAAATGGAGTTACACTATATAGTTGCATGAG